TTCCTTTTGGCCTGTCTTGACTTTAGTTTTATTGAGCTATTTAATTCATTGTGCATCTTGGCATTTACCTTTCCATATTCTCATGGCTCCTTTCCCCCATATGTGTTTGTGTGGCCATAACTCCCTTACTGTGTCCCTCAGCGTCTTTCACAGTGACCAGCACATAGAAGGTGCTCAATGAATATCTGGTAATTTCCTTCAAAGATTTTAACAGATTTTAAATATGATCTTATATTTGAGTATAAGATGAGGGTGATGTAGGATTCAACTCCCATTATACAGCTAACAGGTAATCAAATTCCTTTGAAATGTAGTGTCAAGTCTCGGATGAAAAGGGCATTTATTTTTTCCAATTGATATACCTACCATCTGCATATTCCTGATTTTCCTCATTGTCATCTATGGTAGATAAGGCAGCCCTTTCATGTTCTAAGAGTCAGAAAATTAAGTATTAACTGAAAAGATTAAACAATTCTCACACATGAATCATCTCACTGATATGTAAATAAGCAGAAATGCCCTAACTCGCAAAGTTCTGATTATTTTCAATGCCCTGATCTTGGAATCTCTGGAACCATGTTTTGGGCAAGGTCCAATGGTGACAGAGTCAAGATCAATCAACTCCATATGCACCTTGACCTTTGTTAATAAAAATTCAGCATATTATCAGGTCATTTTCTTTCAGAAAATCCACTATAATTCAGGTGTTGTGGGAAACTTAGGACTAACTATCAGTCAATGGAGTCAAATTTAGAATGACTGCTCCATAGACATTATCATGAAAGGAATTTATAGTTTTAGAGGCCTGTCAAATGCAGGAAAGCCAACGGCTCCTCAGACTTTTGTGCCTGCACCCTCCGCTTCTGTGCTGCCTCTGAGCTTCATTTAGTTTGGCCACTCCTGGAGACTTGACTTTCCAAAACCCACCCTCTGCTGTAACCTCTTTTCCTTGCAGGCTCCCTGTCTTTACTCTCACTTCCAGTACTTTGACCTTTAACCTCACTAAACTCTCTCTCCTCTGGATGATCTGAACCAAGGGCAATCCTGTTCCCAGCCAGGTTTGTTTTTTGTTGTTGTTGTTTGTTTGTTTTTACCAGTTAATCCATTCTGAGAGGCAGCAACTGTTTTAATTGGTTGAAATCTATACCATACTTGTTAAATATTTTCAATATCACCCCTGCCTGCAGCTTTTAATTTAATTTATATTTATTACTTCCTTCTTTATCTAATCTAGACCCCTATAGATCATCACTTCATTGCTTTCTTGCAATTATTCTCAATTTCTTTGATTCACCTCCTTCCTTCCTAAATGGTAAGTAACATAACAAAACTACTCATTTTCCATTCTCATGATCAATGCCAATGACCAAATTACCTGAGCATCCATTTAGGGTGCCAGAAAACAAGAGAAATATGAGAAAAAATATAAAAATAAAAACTTTTGGGAAATAACTTGCTATTCCAAATAAGGTCATCATGAAAATATTCAGAATTTTATTGGAATGAGTATATTGGAATATATACTATATTGGAAGGCAGTATAGTCTTATTTTTATTCTAATTGCAGGGGTGGCAGTACACTACAATATTTCAAGACTTACTACAATCATGCATCTAGGTTCCCACTTCAGCTAACTGACCACCTTTGCGAATCACACAACCGTACATTGAGAGAATAAAGTTGTTGTTTTAAGCTAATAATTTATTGTAATTTGCAATGGCATCCTGAGGAAACTAATACATGGGGTATATACAAAAGTTATATGGTCATAGTGTTTTTAAGATGTGGTTTCTTTAGCATTCTTATGAGATGTTTTATTTCAAAGGACATAGTAAACATGGCAGTTTATTTTGTCAATAATTGAGTTTAAAGGTGACAATATAAGGATTTTATTTATCTATATTAAATAGTGATTCAGTTTTAACAAATATTTTAACTCTCTTTTATTGTCCCAATAGGACATCACATCTGAAAGATTACCTGGTTGATATGGGTGAAAATATAACAAATCTCCAAGTGCAACAAGTTTCTCCTGTTGAAAAATTTTACAATGAGAGAATTAAATGACCAGTATTATTATTCATTATTTAATAGAAAAACACTTTGATTTTTGATTTTTTAAATAACCAAGTATTTTTAACATACCAGAAATTATGTAACCAAATGAGTAGTGTTGGTCTGCTGATTTTTTTCAAACTTGTGTTGGTTCCTTATTGTTTTTCAAAATAAGATTCAAATTGAACCCAAAGAAAACAAATGTATGCGTTGGCCTCAGAGAATCGGTTTAAGATCATTATCAAAGTCAGTTTCCTTGTATCTACTCTGACCTTACCTGCATCAGATCACTTGTCATTCTGGCCATTGTTTGTTCACTTATTTCGATATCTTTGAGATCTGTGAGAACCACCCAAGTTCCATTCTCAAATTTCGCAGGCATAGAAAAGACGATCCCTTCAGGAATGCCAAACTGGCCTGCGGTGAGCAAACACAAAGCAAAGTAAAGCAAAGCAAAAACACTCAGAAAAATAAGTCTTGCCTACTAAGTATTGTGGAGCGGACATTATACATGGGTTTAATGATAACGGTGGAACTAAACCTCTGGTCATTCCTCCCCAGGGAGAGGTGAAACTCTCTAGGAGTATTGATTGGCCACCTGTCCAGGTTCTGGCCGTCCCCCCTTCAGTCTCTCTCTTGGAAGGGAGCACCCCTGTTCCTTCTTCTTTATCCCTCTGTGCTGGGGTCAGACTCCCTGCCTCTGCCTGGAGGGCTGATGCAGCCTTTCTCCTCCACCTGGTGTGGGTTCCTTTTGTCTACTTCCCAAGGCTTTACCTTGTGCCCCTCGGTAGCCCAGGAGCCCCAGGCCTTGTCCAATCTGGTCTCCTGCTCTTCCAGGGGACTATGGCAGTCATATAGGTCAGGCATGAGGACTAGGAAGGGAACAAGAGGGAGCAGGAACGTTGCTGATTTCCTCTGAGCTCCTGGTTCCCAGTCTGGATGTGCTCCAGACAAAAAGATTGACAATACCTGTTACTAAGTGAGCAACATTCAAATAAAATTGCCCCGCCTCTTCTGCGCCTTGGTCAAATAAGAAAATTATGCTTGCCAATCTAGTCATCAAAAATATTGCCACAGGGCAAAATAAATGCAGATAGTCAAGAAACTAGGATCTAAAAAACTTCCTCAGTGGGTGTCCCGGGTTCTCTGTTCGCTCTCTATTTGTTTTCTCTGTAAAGGGATAGCTTTATGGGTGAGCAACATATGAGGGTTTACCTATATAGTTTCAGGGAGCAATGACCACAAGCTCCTTTTCCCCAATATTGCATTGTTTATTGATGAATTCCTATAGCGATTAATTAAAGTTTCTACAAATAAAGGTAAAATTTAAAATACCGATCTCACTAAGAAGGTAATATACTGATTTGAATTCACACAAAGGGGATGTTCATACATCGTAACTGCAATTGAACAAGATTCACCCACCCATGAAGGAGACCCAGGCAAAGCTCTGTCTGCAGGGGGTACACGCTCTAATGGAGGGAACATATGAACCTAACCACACCATGGTTAAAGGCGGGATGTAATATGCTTTCTGATGGAGGAACATAATGCTATGTGAATACAAAAGACAGAGATTAATCTGACTTGGGGGCTTTGGGGAAGATTTCCTTGAACTGCACAGTAGTCACAGGAAGAATGGGGAGGATGGTGGTTCCACTAATAACTGTCAAGAAAGACAACACAATTATGAAATTGTGAAAACCTAGACAGCTTAATGATCATGTTAAGAGATAATAGGTGGGACACAGAAGTGGGAGTACGAGGTATACATGGAGGTTTTTCAATATTACAAGATATGAAAGACCCAGGCTTACCTTCACTCAATACTCCTAAGGACACGATTTCCCCATACGGTGAGCCATGGTACCAGTATTTCAATGTAGTGGCTATACTGTGTGCAGCTAACATGCCTCCAAATTGTTTTCCTGTGGCAGTCAAATCTTCAAGAGTTGTCACAAATTCTCTGTTTACCCACTCACTATAAGAAAAGAAAGAAACAATTTTTCAATGAAGGGAGAAGTGGAAATAAAAAAGACTGCTCCATAGGTCAATGAATCTGAGTACCAAAAAAAAATCATCTCCACAAAAGAGAGATACAACTTCCTTTGTCCTTTCTTTAAGCGTTTTCCATCCCATAAAGAGTCGATTGAAAAGTAATGAGATAGAGCAGAAAGGAATCCCAAAGTTTCAAATGAAACACAGAAAAGAGGTCAAAGGCTGCAAGAACAGTTACTTTCATGACGAAGACTTTATCCTGTGTAGATACTATCTTGGAATGGGTGGTATTCATTTTAAATAAAATAACATCATAAAACGTTGAATTATTCACACTGAGAACTAGAGAGATAACTTTGGCTTTATCATCTGAGGTCTCAAGGCGGCGAATAGTCCAGCTGGACTAGAGCAACCACTAAATGGCTGCCCCTGCGAAGCCATCGTGCTGCCGTCCCATTAGACACTGCCCCTACCCAGGCAACAAATGCAGAGGACCCTGCTCCGAGAGTATGATTTCTAGGGTCTGAGGAAGGGAAGGAAGGGGAAGGAGGGCCATTGGAAAGGAAAGTGCTGCCAAGTGTTGTGAAATGCTTCAAAGGCTCTCCTCCCCCTTTCTCTCCTCTGCCTGAGCACAATGATAGGGTTGACTGTGGTGGGCACAGTTCGAAGGGCTTTACCTGTAATATTAACCCATGTAATCTTCCCAATGACCCTGCAAGGCCCTTACTGTATCACCACTTCCGCTCTGTAGATGAAGACTCTGAGGAATAGAGAGGTTAAGTAACTTCTCTAAAGTCACACAGCTCATAATTGGCTGCGTGAGAATTTCAGCTCAGGTGTCTTGGCCCTAGGGACTGTGCTCCTCACTGCTTCTGCGCTCTGCCTCTCTGGGACAGCACACCAGCGGGGCCTGGGCCTGCTCACCATCTTGATCCCTTGTTCTTGAAACTGGCCGACTAATTTCAACCTGGATACACATCTCTGCCTTTATAGTAAATGAGACTCACATTACATACCTTGCTTTAGAGATAACTTTAATGGGATATGTGAGCCACTTTAAGGATAATCTGAAATGTAAAAATTTATAATTTCAAAACTAAATAAATTGGGGGTGGGAATTGACTAGTTGAAATCTTATGGAACTTTCTATGTCTCTTCAATAGAGAGCGTAAACAAAGATGAGTGTGAACAGATTTTTGCCCAAAGATTTCCAAGATGGTTTAAAAGATTACAACAATTAAACATTTATTCAACACCGTTAGGATACGCCACTTAAAAACAGACAGTACCTATCAAAAACCAAGCTTAACACAGGGCGAGAAAAGTGAGGAGGTCCCCAAATAGCACTCTCATATTTGTAAATCTTGGCTTTTCTCAGATCAACGTAGCAATTTCCACTAATATTACCCCAAATTATCACATCTTTGATGTCTGTGAAGAAAAGAAATAAAAATTAACCTAATAATGAACTTCAGTCTACAAAATTGCCTGACGCCTATTTTTTCTTTGTGCTTATTTTAGGATTGGACCTTTTGCTATAAAATAGATCAAAGTTTATGCTGCCTAAAATGGTGCAAATCATGTGGCTCAATCATCTCCTTAGTCAGGGTTTGGCAAGCCTTACTCATGCTCTATGAATGGTGAGGGCATACAACTGAAATCCAGGAATCCTGGCATGCCCCCTGAAGATTCTGCTGCTGAAAACTGTACCGCTCCCCGTGGTCCTGACTTCATTAACCTGCTTACCTTAGAGAACTGTTTTAAAATTATTTTTTTTAAACATTGGTGACCTTTTTAACTGTTGTCACGGGGAAAAAAATGGAATATTAGGTTTCAAAGTATTACTTGCAAAGTATAAACCTTATTATATAATGATGGGCAAGGTCAGGTGGTCACGAAAGCCAGTTAAAAAAACATGTTTGCACAGTGGTCAGATCACACACTAAGAAGTTCTTTGAATGGGCTTCGCACTTCCTACCCCAGACTCCTGAAGGTTTCCTAGAGGGTACGGGCTTCTTCCCAGCTGCTTTGAAATCATACTTGCTTAGAAACACAGGCAGAGAGACAGGAGTTCACTCACACGAGGGGGATGTTTTCATCTTCCTGGCCACCGCCGCTTTGGCCTGCCCTTCCACCCCCAGCGCCACGGCGACAATATTGTGCGCGATGCTCGGGGCGTATCTCATGAGCAACAACGTTTTCAGGTTGACAAAGGTTTTTCCTGCCACGATGACTCGGACCGAGTCGCGAGCGTTCTTCTCGATCAGGTAGCCGTAGAGCCTGCACAGAGGCACCCTGCTGCGGAGGCATTCCTCCACCGTGAACACCTCCTTGGTCCTGGGGTCGTCCAGGATGATGACCACGTGGGCCTGGCGGAAGGCCTCCTCCGCTCTGGTGCAGATGGAGACGCTGCGCAGCAGGGGCGACACCAGGTCCTGCGCATTCAGGGCGAGGTTCTGGAGGGTTTTTTCCGCCTGCTTGTTGTCAAACAGAGCTATGCTGATTTGCGTGTGCATTCCGAACACCTCCCCGCTGGTCAGGATGGGGATGAGGCTGTAGCAGGCAGGGGCAGACGCACTAACAGTGCAAAGTAGGATTAGCAATGGTTAAAGCTTTTGTCCCTTTTAAGCTTTTATTCTTAAAAAAAAAAAAATATATATATATATATATATATATATATATATAGAAGCCGGGGGGTGAGGGGGCAGATCCCTCAGCCCAGCCTGCACCCTCAGTCTGGGAGCCCTTGGGGGATGTCCGACTGACAGCTTAGGCCTGCTTGTAGTCGGACATCCTTAGCACTGACAGCTTAGGCCTGCTTGTAGTCGGACATCCTGAGCCCAGCTTCTGGCTGAGCAGCGCTCCCCCTGTGGGAGCACACTGACCACCAGGGGGCAGCTCCTGTGTTGAGTGTCTGCCCCTGGTGGTCAGTGCGCATCATAGCGACCAGTCATCCTGCCATTCGGTTGATTTGCATATTAGCCTTTTATTACATAGGATTTGTATTGATTTCAGAGGGGGAAGGGAGAGAGAAATAGAAACACACACACACACACACACACACACACACACACCCCTCAAACTTGACATTCAGATCTTCTATCATGGAGTTAATCCCACATCCTCCTCCTTTCAAATATAAACAGCCAACCTTGCGAATCCTGGGCTTTGACTGTCCCACCTGGTGATCCAGACCTGCAAGGGGTCAATGAGGTCTTTCAGGGATTCTTTCTCCAGCTCCTTTTGTATATGAGCCTCCAGGTTCTCCTGAGCAATCGCCTTCATCAGCTCAGTCGTCATGCTAGAGGTGACATCGTAGTAAAGCTAAACACGGCAAAAGAAAAAGTCAGCCCCCGAGAGAAGACAATTAGTGGATAATGGCTCTAATGGAAAGATCTTGTGTAAAACCAGAAGGGAGTAAAAAGAGAGCTGAGAGAAGACTTTAGAAAGCAAGACGCTGGAAAAATGAAACAATGTGAGAGATTGGTAATGTTTTAAACAGATAAATCAACTTAACTTACATACCTGGGCATGCTCCAGGAACTCATTATACCCTCCCAGAAGCAAGCCCTTGCCTCCGCGATCCAGTAGCTCCCTCCAGATGATGGGGGAACTTTTGTGGCTCCATTTATTCTTTTCACACACATCTCTCAGCCACTCCTATTGAATGATATTCCAAGTGCAGTCACACATTAAATAGACCTCAGAATTCAATACTTTAGAATTCAAACACTAAAATACTGGCTTTTTTTGTGCCATTACTGAATATACATAAAATTTAGATAGCATAAAATTTACATTAGTTCAAATGTAAATATAAAAAATAGTGATGAGTTAAATAACAAATTAAGCAAATAAGAAATAATATTCTTCAAATCCACTGACAAAATAAAGGCACAGGAAGTTGCTCTCTTTGCTGAGGAGACCTGGGATGTTTATGTTAAAGATAAGCCAAGTGTTCCAACTCAACTGATTTTTAAAAAGTTTAATGGATTTCCCCCTTATTCTTCTATCTGAGATATTTCCAGTCGTAAGGAATTTCCAATATTGTAAAAATTTGATATTGCTTTCCACATCTGTAAGTATAGTGTATATTGCTCAGATTAAATTAATGAGCTAAAAATTACACAGGGATTTCTGATAATATTTATTAGAAACATCTTAAATCATTATTTGGTTTGTGTAGATCAGGTCCTCCAATGACAAGAGCTGAGTAGAGATAGACATTCTTATGGGTAAAGTACATAAGAGCATTCTTGTCTTTGGAGGCATGTGCAATGATGCTACCTTAACACATAAAATCTTAGAAACAAATTTCCCTTCTGATGTTGAAATCTCTCTGCTTTTATCCCACCTTAAAGCAAACAGTGCTGCTGTGAAGATTCTCCCAGGGCCCTCTATTTTACACCACAGCCTTCCCAATGAAGTGCTGAGTCTATGGAATAAGGGACTCTACCCAAAAGGACCTTCAGCATCCAGGGCGTGTTGATATCCTGGCAAGAGATGAGAGAATATGTATGGGACTGGCCCCCGAGGATGCTGAATCAAGAGTGGGATATAAAGTTGGACAAGGGAGAATTTATCAATATTAATCACTCTTCTGCAATTCAAGAGTGTACACCCTGGCAAAGACCTTGGAAGATAGTGGTAACACGTTGCTGGGATGATTCTCCTAAGATTGGGGAAGGTGATGATTACCAATGAAATGCCAGAACTGCCTTGGAAAACAATGGAAGGGATTAAAAGGCTTAGAAAAATGGTCATGCAGGAGTGGATATGCTACTATAGAATTCTGGAAACCCATTAGTCAACTGTGTACTCTAGAAGGCCCTTGGGGCACTACATTCACAAAGTGACAAGAAATGCGCTGATGAAAGGGTTCTCAGTATTGCTGGGAAGCCCTGGGTGGCTGTCCACTCTAGGCCAGGTCTTTAAAGGACATGCTGTTATAGAGCTGGACTCCAGGCCATTGGGATGATAGACTCTTGAAACAAGAGGCTAGGGAGCAGTACCTACCAGAGAGTATCTATTGTGAAAGAAACAGTAGCCCTAGCCAGTTTTGCTCAGTGGATAGAGCATCGGCCTGCAGACTGAAGGGTTTGGGTTCGATTCTAGTCAAGGGCACATGCCTGGGTTGCAGGCTGGATCCCCAGTAAGGAGGGTGTGTGTAGGAAGCAGCCAATCAATGATTCTTTCTTGTCATTGATGTTTCTATCTCTCTCCCTTTCCCTTCCTCTCTGAAATCTCTCTCCCTTTCCTTTCCTCTCTGAAATCAATATATATATATATATATATATATATATATATATTTCTAGCCAGTTTGGCTCAGTGGATAGAGCATCGGCCTGTGGACCAAAGGGACCCAGGTTCGATTCCAGTCAAGGACACGTACCTGGATTGCAGGCTCCTCCCCAGCCCAGGCACTGGCTGGGGCTTGTGCAGGAGGCAACCAATCGATGTGTTTCTCTCACATCGATAATTCTCTCTGTCTTTCCTTCTCTCTTCCACTCTCTCTAAAAATCAATGGAAATATATCCTTGGGTGAGGATTAGCAGAAAGAAAGAAAGAAGCACTAAACAACCCAGCAGGAAGATAACTTAGACAGCTGAAGGCACGTGGGCTCATGAAGAGGCAGGGATTATGCAATGACTCTAGAGATCAAGCTGCCACTCACCAGAGCTGATGCAGCTATTGTTGCTACTAAATGTCCAATGTGCGGCAACAGAGACCAATGCTGACCCCCTCAGAGTGGCATTATCCCTCGAACTCACTAACCAGCCCCTTGGTGGGAAGTTGATTATAGTTGGACCCCCTCCCACCCTGGACATGACAGTGATTCATCTTGACTTGAATCAACATATATTCTGGGTAAAGAACTGTCTTTTCTGCCTGTAGGGCTTTGCCCAACACCCTGTTCAAGAGCTTTCACAATATTTAACCTGTCAACATGGGACCACTTCAAACTAAGGGACCCACGTTAGTGTAAAGGATGTGTGGGGCTGGGCACATAACCAAGGGATTCACTGGCCCTATCATGTAAAACACCACCTAGCTGCCCAATAGAGGGAAGGCACAGGCGCCAGCGTGGGACTGATGCCTTGCAAGTTTGGGGCACCATCTTTCAGGAGGCAATAAATATCACAAATCGACATAGTGTTTTGCCCCAATAGTTAGAATGAATAAATCCAGGAACCAAGGGATGAAATGAAGAGTGACCCTGCTTACCATCACTTCTAGTCACTTGCCCTAGACTCTGTGGATCTGCAGGTTCTAAATCCCAGGGCAGGGGGTGCTTCTATCAGGAAGACTCCCATTGAACTTTAGGCTGTGGGTGCCACTGGGTCGCTTTGAGTTTCTTTGCCAAAGAGACCAGCAGGCAAGGGAAGGAGTTACCATCCTGGAGGGAATAATTGGCCCTGATGATCAGAAACATGTAGGGCAGCTATCACCCAATGTGGGCAGAAGAGAATATTTATTGTCTAGATGATTTACGGGGGCATCTTTGGTACTTGCTCAATTTTGACAAGTGGACAAGTGCACAGTCGCATCCTATAAAAGAAATGGAGATGAGGGTGCACAGATACAGGGATAGGTCACCACACCTAACAAGTCACTTAGACCAGCGGAGAGTAAGGGGACTCTAGAATGGACAATAGAGAAGAGAGGTGATGAGTGTTAGTTGCAGCCCTGAAATGATGGGTAGTGGAGACTATAGTTCCTGTGACTAACCTTCTTGTAAAGTTTTCCTAGGGAGAGAGGCCAACCAGAATCTTGGACAAGCTGTTCCCAGATGGTGTGAACCTATTACACAGAGCATGCGGACCCAAAAGGCACAACGGGTGCACTGTGGCGGGTCCTGTCATTGCAGTCCAGATTGCCCCTCCATGACCCAGGCACTCAGTCCCTCGGCCACCGGTAGTGTTGGCTGCCGACGGCTCAGTGCCCAGTCTCCTCCCAGGAACTGGCTTTAGCTGAAGGGAGTTCTCTTGCCTTAAGTTAAACGCCTTCCCTGGGCAGCCGGCATCCAGTGACTGTTAGCTGGGGGAGTACAAAAGCCCGGCCTCCGTGCCTATTTTGGGGGTGTCTCTGACAGGCTAACCCAGCTCCAGAATTCCCTGTATGACTGGCTGAGCCCTTTGTTGCAGCTGGATGGCAATTCAACTCCTTCCATTGCCCAATGCTGCTGCCCTCATTCCTTCCCAGGATGTTGTTCCCAAGAGCACCCCCCAATAAAGGAAATTCCTTCACCTAAATCTTCACCTCAGTCTGTTTCTGGGGAAACCCAATCCCAAAGAAGGGTATTTCAATAAACAAGCACCTCATGCCATTAGAAATCAATATGAAGGTGAATGAAGAGTTAAGACGTACAATAAAAGTTACTTGGATTCTTATTTGTTAGGGCCTCATGTGTTCTAATTGGTATTAGGAAAAAAATAATGCTTTGAGGCTGATAAGTGGGGACTTATTTTATTAGTGGTAAAATATCAGTAGTACACGAACATTCATTGCTGGAAGCCTATCTGATATACTAGCTAATGTTAATCAAATTAGAAACATTTTTGTGCATGTGTAAGTTTAATAAATTGTAAAGGCTTCTTACCTCCCAAACATCAGGATGTTGGGTAATTTTAAATACATGAAAATCAGGAAGATTCTTTTGTAAATAGTCTGCCAGGATTTCAGCTTTAGCATAATATGGGTCATCTGCTCTACCTAAAAGAGTTCAAATTAGCAATGCCTTCTTTTGTCATATAGAAATCATCATGCAGTTTTAAGTATATGCTATATAATTAATCATGTAGTTACATTTTGTAACATAGTTATAGTATAAATTGCAGCCACATAAACTTTTGATTTTTACTATATTGGTAAAAAGGTCAGAATCTTAAAGTAATAAAACGTGGAAAGGAAAAAAAGACTATTGAATATTCACTCTCCTCCAGTACTATGTTAGATCTCACTTCCTCTAAGAGGCTTACATGCTACTAATTAAACATGAACTATTACCAATGAACTATTCATTAGTAGCTATGAAAAGCTAAGTGTGAAGTGAGGAGTAGTGGTAGAATCACATGTGGATTTGATGTATGTGGCAGGAGTATTGGGGGAGGAGAAGCTGAGGAAGAGAGGAGAGTCTGGGATAACTTCTACTTTCTGGCTTGAGTAGATGATCCTGAGCTTAGCAGAGAGAAATCACAGGTGATAAGTTTATTGATAAGTGCAGTTGGAGGGATCTGTAGTATATCTAAGTGGATGTGAGCAGAAGGCAGCTGCATGTGTAAGTCTGAAGTACAAGCTCTATGTAAGGGCTTAAGATGTAGCCATCAACACACCGGAAGTTAAAGCCACCAATGTGCATGGGATTGGCTGTCTGATTGGCAGGGGCCACATGAAAAAGTCTCTCTATAGCATTCTTCCCCATCTACCATAATTACCAGTTCTTTGACCTCATGGAGACTTCTAAGTCATCAATCCCTCTCAACCTCCCCCTATCTATTAGCCTCTCTGTCTTGTTCAAATCCATCGTTCATGAATCCAAACCACTCTCTGGCTAATTTGCCCCACTGTGCTCTGGCAAATACACCTGATAAAAGCCCATCACTCTGGATGAACCAAATTACCTGTCTTTCCTAGGCCTATGTCCCACCTGCTAGATACCCCTGGAGAAACATGGCAGAACCAAGCCTAGAGGCGCCATTACATTCATGTCCATCAGCCTCAGCTGGCCCTCAGATCCCTTACAGCATTCTCTTCTTTTCTCCACAACTGCTGTTCCAGGCTTTGTCCACTTCCTTCAAATCTTTTCCTTATCTCCAACATTTTTCTGGACCATCAGAAAACAATAGATAACCTTGCTCTCTACTTTACAAAAACAAAGCCAAGTCATAGAACAAGACATCAGTTGGGAAAGACCTCAACCTCGTGCCATCACAGGTACCAGCCCCTCTGCATTTGGATGCATCCTTTCCTTCTTCTATTCAATGGAAGAGGGACCCTACCTCCTGTTTGGGTCTCATCTTACCACGGATGTTCTGAATACTACCTTCTTCTGCCTTCAGAATGTTCATAGATTCTGCTCAGTTTCTTTCTAGAATCTTATCTCTGGTTCTAATGAAACTTTTTCTTCATATTTAAATATACTCATTATATTTGTTTCTCCTGTACTAAAAAACAAAAAGTCCATGCCCCCCATAACTATTGTCTTCCACTTGACCTTTTCTATTAACACTTTCTTCTTTTTATTATTAATAAAAGAGTTCTCTATACTTGCCATTCCCAGTTCTTTACTTCCATTTATTTCTCATCCTACAGCAATCTGGCTTTCCCTATCATTCTCTAGAACAGTGGTTCTCAACCTTCTTAATGCCTCGACCCTTTAATACAGTTCCTTATGTTGTGGTGATCCCCAATTTCATTGTTACAAATTGAACATAAAGCATAATGATTAATCACAAAAACAATATGTAATTATATATGTGTTTTCCGATGGTCTTAGGCGACCCCTGTGAATGGGTCGTTCGACCTCCAAAGGGGTCGCGACCCACAGGTTGAGAACCACTGCTCTAGAAGGTCACCAGGACCTCCATGTCACTAAATTCAATAAACATATTTTTAGTGACCTTTGTTGACCGTTGGCAGCATTTGGCCCACTGCTAACATTTTGAAGCACCCACTCTGCTTGGGCACTCTCCAGGATTTCTTTCTACTTCTCTGGTCACTTCTCACTCTACACTGTAGGTTCTTATTCCTTTATCAATACATTAAAAGGTAAACATTATGCAAGGCTTCTTCTCTTCATATCCTGCACATTCTTCCTGGCCAATCTCCTCCACTCTTTTGGGTTCAAGGAGCAATCTGTATTTCCAATTCAGACCTATCTCCTTATTCAGTTTACCTATACCCTTCTGTATTCTTTCATCTCCTTCTTAGTGTCCCATAGACACTCAGCATATCTATGATGGATTTTGCTACCACTCCTCCACTAAATCTGCTCCTTCTCATATATTCTTTATGTCCATCTATCAAGTTATCTAAGAGTATCCAGAGTATTAAGCCTGTTCTTTTTCAATAACTCATCTACCAGAACATGTGGTTGCAGCACTGCTTAGGAATAATTTTAACTCTTTCTTCTCCCTTACTTGCCTCCCTCCACCAAATTAGACAACTAATTCTATGGCTTCTGCCTTCCTAACATCTCTCCAATCTACTCACTTCTTTCCATTTCTGTTTCCTACCAACCTAGGTCAAGCCAACATTATCTCCTTACAAAACTATAGCAGCTGACTGGGCTCTTGGCATCCAGTCTTTCTCTTCCCACACTGCAGAGATAACACTCAGATAAAATGCAAATTTGACTATGTTCTTCCCCTCCAAAAACCTTCCATGTATTTCAGATAAAGTTTAAAATATTGAACACGGCTCACAAGAATCTACATCACTAACTCTGGCCCTAGGCTATGATACTCCTTTCTTTGTTCCCTTTGCTCCAATCCCACTAAATCTATTTCAATTTTCTATTTATTGTATACTCTCATCAAGCTAGTTCTCCTCATTTCAACCCCACTTCCTACTATCCATGCCTAAACTGCCCTTTTCCTTCTTACCTCTTCTCTGTTGATAGGTCCCTTTCAGGTCCCTGCTTAAAAGTCACTGCCTCTAGGAAGCTCCCTTGCCTGACTAAGTAAGGTCCTCTGCCAGGGCCACTGCTCCTATCAAACCCTGCCCTGCTGCTGCCACACGTGCAGCATTCTTTGTACATTGTTTACCACTGTCTTTCCAGCATACAGTCTGTCGGTGCTCAAAAATATCCTTCTGAATGAATAAAGAAGCAAAGAAAATAGATTTTCAGGAAGATGGGAGGTGCCAACTGTGTTAGTACATCAAAGAGGCCAAATTAGACAAGAACTGGACAGCTTCTCTCAAGTCATTGGTGATTCTGTAAGGGCCATTTCGGAAAGGAGGCAGATGTAGAAGCCAGATTGAGTGGAAGGAGGACCTAGAAGTAGAAGAGCAGTCTACCCTTTTAAGAATCTTGTTGAGAAGAGAAGGAGGCAGGTACAATAGCATGTTGTAGCAAAAGACTCTTCAGTGCTTTTCTGAATGCCAGTCATCACTTCCTATCCTTCCCCTCCATTGCTGACAAGATGGGCTTCCTAAAATGCAAGCCCATTAAGGATACTCTCCTGCTAAGTTTTTCAGCGGCTCCCTACTGCTTTTAAGGTACAGTTCAAACACCTTTGCTTGGTGCACTTGAAGATCTGGTTGCAGCTCCTTTTCTAGCCCCAGGTCCAGTCACTTCCTCCATATCCAGATCGTCCATTAGGCCATGAGGCTCTTAGCCTCTTTGCCTTTATCTGGAATGGCCTCCCTATGTCAAACTTTCACACATCAGCTCCTGTAACAACCCCCAGAGCCCTGTGCACGTCTTCTTCATTGCATTGATTACATTGTGTCAAAATTACTTGTTCACATGCTTCTGTACACCATGAAACTGAACGTTTCTCAAAGGCAAGGACGTACCCCCTCCCCCTACCCCTTCGTCCTATATGTCCAGTGTCCTGCAGTGCTTTGCACAGGGGCACTGCCCAATCAACATCCTTGAGTGCCTGTATCAGAAAGCCTGGGATGGTCCATAAAGAGGCTGGAGTTGCTAAAGCAGAAGCCAGTTAAGAAGATCACTGCCAAGCGGCTATAGAAAGCCAGCAGTTGTTGGTGTTTTCAGTGATCTGCGGGCTTACGCGGGGATCACTCACCCGCAAGCACGAATTTGGCCATGTTGAAGCTTTGGTCCCGGGGCAGACACCGCGACTCCGCAGTTGCCTGGCAACCACGCTGCCAAGGACGCGGCGCAGGCGCACTCTGTAGCTGAACGCGGGGTCTGGCGCCCCGCAGGGAAGATTAGCTGTTGGGGTACACGATCATACGTAGCCTATAAAAGCTCTGCGATCTCTCCCATTCCCATCATTGAAGCTAAGAACACTAGTCATTTCCTTTGGTAGGCTTTCTTTTCTCTAGTGTCGGGCGATTCCTTCTCCAATCGCTGCGAGCGAACACTTTTGGTCCTCAGAAGGACCCGTCCAATCTGTCAAGTCTCGCGAGATGAGCAGTTCTCAGCCGTGCGGTTCGGCTGTTCCCAAAGGCAGCCACGGGGTTCAGGGCTAAGGTGAGTGGAGGACGCGCACGGGCGGGACAGTTGGCGGGGCTGCACTCTAGACTTGCGGCTTTTCGAGACGGGTCTCAGGGGTTCCCCGGCATTGAGTTCAGGAGGGGGGTGAACCCGGGAGGCCGAGTTCTGCACGGACCGGCTGCTGTCGCTGGTTCTGAAACCCGGGAGGCTGGCAGGTGTCTCCCCTCCCGCACTCAGGCCACATGCGCGCATCACTTTAGTTTGCTGCTTTGTCTCCGGAGCCGTTCTCCTGGGTCCAAAGCCTTGTTCTTAATAGTCCAGGTTCTAACGCCTCTTGTTAAAAGTATGGACCGGCGTTAAACCCTTACGCTTCTTTGAAGACATCTCCAAGGCAATGTAGAGGAAGCTTTGTGGGGACACTTTCCATCGGAAATCCACTTCATTTAAAAAAAAACAATCTCAGTTGTACAGAGTATAGTGCTTCCGAAGTAACCTGGCTCCTCCGAGACCGCACGTGTGTAGAGGTGGAGGAGGCACGTCTTGGTCAAAGAGTTTACCATTTTAGTGTAAATCTTTCACGTCTCCGCAGGTCTCCGCTTTAGTGTCAGTTAAATGCATGTCATTTGAGTAAGAGCTGTGCTTCCATTTTTATTCCTTTCATAACCCCTTCCCCGCAGGAAAGCAGCGGCACGTGCTCTCTCCCGCCCATAGGAGCGATGTTGGTAACATCCTGACAACTTCTGGGCAGTGCTTCGGTGGAGAGCACAATGAGTAACAGAGCAGGTTCCTTTCTGTGGAACCTCCGGCAGTTCAGTGCTTTGTCTCCCACCAGCAGAACCGTGAGGCCGAACCCTTTGGGATTTTGCAGACCAGAAATTGTTTATTCAAACTGGAGCCCAAGAAACCATCCCTCCAACGACTTTGCTAGTAAAACGCAGTCACCTATTAGATATCTCTTTCAGGATGCCTCGGTTTTTAAACCAGGAGATGATGTCTTTCAAACGAAGGGCATCAGCCCCGTAACAGCCCTTCCGGTCAACAGATTCTTGTGTCCTAGAAGGCTGTCCTTTGACTCAAAACAGTCTCCCGTCCCTGAGGATGGATCGAAGAAGATGCGCTTTCACCACGAGGCCTCTGACGAAGATGTTCTCACCAGGGAGACAAAGCCCACCCCTGTCAACTTCAAGAAACTGTCGCAGGGCAATTCCCTGAGTGATGTGTTAGATGCATTTGCAAGCGCACCTTCCTTTCCCAGTAGTAACTATTTCTCAGCCATGTGGACGATTGCCAAAAGGATGTCCGATGACCAGAGACGCTTTGAAAAACAGCTGATGTTCAGCCACCCTGCATTTACCCAGCTGTGTGAACACATGATGAGAGAAGCCAAGATCATGTACTGCGACCACCTGCTGTTCAGCCTCTATGCCATCGTGAGGCTCGGCATTCCTCAGAACACGCTGCTGGTTCAGACTCTGCTGAGGGTGGTCCAGGTATAATCAAAAGGAGCCTTACACATCCTTTTCCTCGGTTTGTGTATCTTGAATGCATGAAGGGAAACAGAGGGGTAGTCTTGGCATATCTTGAAATGATGGAGGGAAATAGACTATCAGAGGAACGGTAGTTTCCTTTTTATTTGCGTCTGTATATATGATGTAGAGTCCTTAAACTAGCCAGGTCTGTCTTTCCTCTTGCTGTGAAATTTATGACAGCTTGCCCCTTTTCTCCTCTTCAGAGTTGAATAATAATGATGAGTAAGATAAAATGAGGAGAGAGAAAAAATATGCAAGGAAGGTTGGGTAGTTAAAGGAAGGAAAAAGGGTGTACCTACACCTCTTTCTTATATACGTAATTGTATTCAGTCCTCTTAACAGCTTTGTAAAGTTGATGTTAACCTTAGTTTTGCAAACGAGGAAACAGACTTAGTGATGTTAAGCAAGTTGGCTAAAGTCACACTGCTGGTGGATTCTTTTATGCAGTAGATATTGGGTGTCAACTATGCATCAGTTACTGAACTTGTCTCTAGGGATATAAAGATACAGAAGACATGATTCCTACCCTTACAATCTGGAGGGTATACGGCTCTTTTGTGGGCAATCACAAAAATAACCAACATTCGAGTCCTATATTAACTGTGTTACAGGCATTGTACTGAGCACAAGGGGATTTAATTGTGAACAAAATAATGGCTACAAAGAACTTCCGGTGCAATGAAACAAAAGTATAGAGTCTTATGAGAGTATAATGGGCGTCCATTCTAGTCAGGAGAAGGCCTTCCTGATGGGAAGAGGAGATGAGGGAGAAGGATACAGGATTAGTGTTTGCGGCAGAGATATGTTTGAAAACAATTGCTGCGTGTAATCTTCAGTGTAGCCTTTTAAAATAGGTATTGTTACTCTCATCTTTCCAATGATTAGGAAATTTAGGCTTGGAGAGGTTAAAACACTTCCCGAAAGTCACAAATCTGATAATATCACTATTAGTAGGTACTTGATAAATGTGTCCATAATGAATGAACAAACACCTACCTAGCCCATTGTAGAACTAGAATTCAAGCTCAATCAGAGATGATGTCTAAGCTGAATCCAAGGAATACACAGCAGTTTGTGAGAGATTGATAGTGAACAGGATGGTTTTTCAAGCAGAGAAGATTGCTTGTTCGTCCCAGAGCAAAAGTTTACAAGTTTGGGAGCTGAAAGTAGTACAGAATGGCTGAAGTACAGAATTCTGGGGGTGGGGGGGGTGTTTGAGGGAGTGGGGAGGAAATTGTGACATACTTTCCTTCAGACACATAGCCAAGTGGTCTTTCCTTTCACAGTAAATATTGAAATATTGATGGCATGTTGTAAATTGTTATGGAAACCCTCCCATAGTAATGAGACCATTTTTTCCCTTCCACCTGTACTTCTTTCAGCCTAAGTTTCCTTGATGTGCTCTTGTAAGGTATATAGATTAGTTATGATTAAACTGTAGAGCACTAGGTAAGCTGTGTTACTATTCCTTTTCCAAATTATGCCCACTGCCATTTCTGGCATCTACATTAGTACCAAACCCAAGGGACCTGAAAGAAGGATCTGGGGGCTGGGGCTCCCCTTGAGAGCCAGATAATAGTGATAAAACGTGACAGGTGATGTGGATCAGAAGATTTACCAACTGCAGTTCGTTTGCTACCCAGGAAAGGATACAGGGAAATTATGAGGACACAGGTTCTTTAGGGATGGTCAAATTGCCCTCTATACTGTAGTAGCTCTTACATTACAGCTCTTGTCTTCATGATGACCTCGAATCCTAGAAGGAGGTAAAAATAATGTTTGATAAAAGGTGTTTCAGGAGCAGAGTAATATAACCAATAATGGATTTTCAGTGATAATAGTAAATGTAAAGAAGTTTTGATGAATAAAAGAGTGTGAATTGGGTATTTGGAAAACTCACTATGGACAGCATTTTATTTCCTAAAGATGTTGTTTATTGAGGACTGACTCCGTGTGAATTATTGGTTTCATAGTTAAACCTTAATTGAAAGCATCAGTTCAGTGGTTTTGCATGGGTACAATAGTCTACTATGGGCTCATCAACTGTAGTGTTTTTGTAATTATATTTCAATAGGAACGTATCAATGAGTGTGATGAGAGATGTCTTTCAGTTTTGTCAATTATTTTAGAAGCAATGGAGCCATGCAAGAATGTGGATGTTCTTCGATCAGGATTGCGGTGAGGACTCTATGCTTTCTTCATGTGGCAATCTTTGTTTTTTTAATATCTCAAATAAAAAACCAAGATGAAAGCTGAATTGCTTTTTATGTTTGTTTGGGGAAAACTTTGATGGTAGTTTTAATACCTTATTAAACTTAAAATTCTCACTATGGATCAGATAAAGGTGGAAATAATGCTGTTAGGGTCCACAATAATGAAGGTATGAGTAGCATTGAAATCTAAGTTTAACATATGATACTGATGTGGGCTGGCAGAGAATTGACAGGTATTCAGTTCATTGTGGTTATTTGTGCACTGTGTGGAGGTTACGTGACACTGGCCTGGCTTGAAAAGGAGCTTGAGTTTTACAATTTATAAAATTGATGACACTGATATAATGTTATAAGCCAGTGAGAATAATGCTTAATCCCTTTTTTCATTGACAATGCCTTGGGGTATCTTACAATAATCTGATGTGATTTGTTCATTCAGAAAGATAGCAGAATAATTTGAGAGGGAACAGTGCTAAACTGGTCCTGGATCTTTCAGTAACTACTCCAGCGGTTCTCAACCTGTGGGTCGCGACCCTTTCACAGGGGTTGCCTAAGACCATCGGAAAACACATATATAAGTACATATTGTTTTTGTGATCAATCACTATGCTTTAATTATGTTCAATTTGTAACAAAGAAATTGAGGGTCACCACAACATGAGGAACTGTATTAAAGGGTCGCGGCCTTAGGAAGGTTGAGAACCACTGAACACTATCTTCGGCAGGTAGATCATGTCTATTGGCTTCATATTCCTTGCCTAGAAGTAGGAACTGGACCGAATGACTTTTAAGATTTCTCTTCTGGTTTTAAGATTCTAGGTCTATGGTATTTATTCTGTTTGATTACAGGATACTAGTTGATCAACAAATTTGGAAAATAGAACGTGTCTTCACATTACAAGCTGT